CTCGTTCAAGAGCGCTTCTTCCCATGAGAACTAGGCTGTTTCGGCGAACTCCCCCCCCTCCCAGTGCCACCTTCTACGCAGATGGCGGCGAGCTACTGTGCAGTTCCGGGGATTGCGTCGCCTCCTCTGCCGAGCTACCGTGCAGTTCCGGGCAAAGCTGCGTCTCCTCCACTGAGCACCCAGAACTGGTCTCAAAGAAAGGACAAAAACATGATTTAAGGCCGTGCCGGCCACATGTTTGAGGGATTTTGCCCCAGCCGACGTCGTCCTGCTGGCCGGCTCTGTAAAAATGTAAATGTTGCCCCCTGTTGCTGTTTTGAAAGCGATTGCCTCCCTATTCCGCCTCTGGACGAAGGCTTCAGCAAAGTCCGTTTGACTGCTCAACACTTTCGGCTACCGCTACCATCACAACAAACCAGAAATTCAAACAGTGGTTGGCAGCTTCGGGATACGCTACCCTACGTTTGTCAAGCCTGATCGGATCTCTGAGCACAAGGACGACTGCCGTGATAGCGTTTGGCTACGCTGGGATACGCTACCCTAGGTTTGGCACGCCGGATTGGACCCCTGGAAGCTCGAGCACAACCAACCTGATATCAGGGTTTGGATATGCTGGCATACGCTACCCCTGTCTTCAAGGTTTCACTGCTGTAGAACCCGCCACCCCGATCTCAACAGCTCGAAGTTGGAGCGGACTCCTGCAGGCCCGAGGACACCTACAACATTGTTCGAAGGCAGCCACGAGTTGGACCATCGTCGGCTACTTTGGTTGGGCAAGTGCCCAACGTTTACTGTTCCTTCCGCCAGACCTCTCTAGCACAGGCAGATGTTAGTAGTGTTTTGTTGGTTATAATTTATAACTCACGTGCTTTAAACCATGACATTAGTTTTAGAGTACAATGAATATCAGTAGTGGAGCATCACGAGGGACGACATCGCGATGGAGCAATACCTTGTGCAAGACCTCTTAGAAAATTGTGGAGCCATGGGGATTTCCGCCGGGTCCGCTAAAACAAGGGAGGCAATTCTCGAGGTGATGCGGGCAGAGAATGTGACTGCCGACCTCTCTAGCACAGGCAGATGTTAGTAGTGTTTTGTTGGTTATAATTTATAATTTACGTGCTTTAAACCATGACATTAGTTTTAGAGTACAATGAATATCAGTAGTGGAGCATCACGAGGGACGACCTCGCGATAGAGCAATACCTTGTGCAAGACCTCCTAGAAATTTGTGGAGCCATGGGGATTTCCGCCGGGTCCGCTAAAACAAGGGAGGCAATTCTCGAGGTGATGCGGGCAGAGAGTGTGACTGCTATGGAGACTGAGGCCCGTCGCGAAGCACAAGCCGCTGAAGTGCACCAGAGAGAGCGGGACGCCGAGGAGAGTCACGAGGCGCCTGATATTGAGGCCCGTCACAAGGTACAAGACCCCGAAGTGCAACGGAGGGAGCCAGACGCTGAGTTGCATCGCGAGGAGTTAGAGGCCGACGCCCATCGCATAACTAAGGACGCGGAGGTGCATCATAAAGCGCATGACACGGAGCCGCTTCGCAGCGCACATGATCAGGATGAATCACGTCAAAAAGAGCTTGACGACGAGTCGCGTCGCAAGGCGCTAGAGGTTGACGCCTGTCGACAAAAGCTTGAGCAGGATGCGTGACATAAAGTGCTACAGATAAATCTCGTGAACGAGAGCATGAGGCCGACTTCAAAGGCCAGAGGGCATTCCACGACAGCGATAGACCCCCACCGATCGAAAGCTTTTTAGGCGCGTTTGTTGGCTTTAAAGGCATCGGAACTCCCGTTCTGTCGCAAGCAGAAACAGCTAGCAACGGGCCCGAAGAATAGCTAGTTAACCAGTCTGGAGTTTCAGCAGTACTTGTCAAAGGCAGCACATTTAGAAGTAAGTGTGTCGAGGCTGCTAGTATTGCGAGAAGTCCCAACAGAAAGAGGCGTCGGCGGAAGCGTCGCGCGGTATAGACTGGCGCCAAGCGTGCTAAAGCCGCTGTTATGACGTCCTCGGCCGAGACGCCAGGTTGAAGGCTAGGCGCAGCATCACGAAAAGGCCTCCTAAAAAATGTTCGGAGCTCAAACTGTCACTGAGATCGACATTACGCGGGAAACGCGTCAAGAAAAACCGAATTTCAACTAAATTCAGACACCGAGTTCACCGCCTGGTCTCATCTTTTTCCCTGCCATTTAGGGGCAACCACAAAGGGAAGCACCACTTACCCCTGAGCCGCAACACAGGCTGTTCCCCACCGTGACGAAAGTGTCACGGGTCGAACGGGCGGGGTAAATAACCCAATGCAGATGCCATCTTGTTCGAGTTAAGCGGCTGTACGTCAGAAGTTGCTGCTACCGAGTTCGGCAAACACTTTTGTTAGTTGTGCCTGTATCAAGAGCGGATACCTCGAGCGCGACTCCCCAGAGTTCATCTGAGAGGGGCCCATCTTGCCATTACTAAAGCTGGATCTTTTACTCAGCTTCGATAATTATTTTTCCAGTTTTCTTGTCTGCTGATGAGCAAGGAATGCGTCTCCATTTTTGTAAGTTTTACTTTCCTTGTCATCGGAGAAGCAGACATTGATATGTTTGTTTGATTTTGTTTTCATAATATTTCGAAAGTATTATTTTAACAGAGAAGGCCGAGTAGAAGCCCCTGCTTAAAATACCTTCTGTATTAAACATTATATACGTGTTAGTATGCGTGTTAGTGTATAGGTAAACGTTTAGCTTTCTTTTGCATAACAACCGCAAGTTTGATTTTCAGTGTTATTTTCTTGCTTTTTCTAGGGTGTGTTTTCTCTTGTTGGGATGCTCATTGGCTGCACGCATTGAATAAGAGCTTGTCGGAAGACTTTGTTATGTTTAACAGTATGACGCTTGCAAGCGACACCAATGTGCATAATTGCGAAGTGCTTGGTATTCTAAATTGTAGTTTCGGGGCCAAATTCAGTTTTCCTCAGCAGCTTCGATCGTCCACAATCTGCCCAAATCACAATTTAGAGTCCCTCGAAAAAAAAAATTCTGTTTGGTTTAGCAGTGTCATGCACTAGCACTTAGCTAAAAGTGTGTCCACATTATGTATTCCTTCTGAGATACGTTGCTCGTGATGCTATTTTTTAGCTCAGCTTAATCTCGAGGAAATATCTTCGTTTTTGCTGGTCTGGCGATTTGATCAGCATTTGGAGGGCACTTGCTTTGGCCAGAGTGGTTTGGCTTTGTGCTCGACTCCGTCGTTCCAGTGATCCGCTGCAGTGCTGTGAAAGTCTCCACGGGTGGAGAGAGTGGAACGGCTACAGTTCTCAACAGTCAATCGGCATCCCTCCTTCGGAGCCGTGCTACACGGCTGAAAACTCTAAATGCATTGTCTGGCGGCGGGGGTGCTGTTATGTCGCAGGCATGGTCCTCATTCGGGAGCGCTTCTTCCCACAAGAACGAGGCGATTCCCGTCAACTCTCTCCCTCCCAGCGCCACCTTCCACGCAGACGGCGGCGAGCTACTGTGCAGTTCCAGGCAAAGCTACGTCTCCTCCACTGAGCACCAGGAACTGGTCCCAGAGAAAGGACAAAAACGTTATTTAAGGCCGTGCCAGCCTCATGTTTGAGAGATTTCACCCCAGCCGATGTCGTCGTGCTGGCAGGCTCTGTAAAAACGATAAGCTGCTATAGTAAACGTTGCTACCTGTTGCAGTTTTGAAAACAACAATTGCCTCCCTATTCCGCCTCTGGACGAAGGCTTCAGCGACATTCGTTCGGCAGCTCACCGCTCTTGGCTACTGCTACCATCGCGACACAGCGAACTCCTAACAGTGGTGGCAGCGGTGGGATGCCATTAAACCCGAATTCATAACAATATACACCAGAAAACTGCGAGTTCAGCAGGTAACACATCACACCATCTGTCACAAGTGCAGCAAAGCCACACCATGAACTGCCATGCCAGCAGACATTCCACAATTCAAAGGCGAAGCTTCTCAACCCAAGTACGGCTGTAAGCATGTTTCACGCTTTTCGTCTCCCAAAAATTTGTGCTTTTTTTCTTGTGAAACATCAAGGAAACCTTCTTTGACAGTCTGAAATGTCTACCGCACGTGCACTGCCATGTGCAGAAGCAACTTTATCAGGTACGTACTATTGTGCTAGAAAGAAACGTGAACAGCGAAAGGTGTGGCTTTCGACTCAGACAAGCTGCGACATGCCTTGACTGTTGCTAGGCAAGACTTGTGCTTTCAGACGGCTTCACTGTACTGCTAGAATCTTTCTCCGGCTTGCGCTCACGCACCGCTATCATTCGAGTCAAGCCTGAAACTAGGTTAACACACTCTCGGTGCCAAAAGTGCCAGACAGAGCACAATTTTATAGTGCAATGGTAACGATGGCTGAAAGCACAGATTAGCCTAGCGACAGTCAAAGCATGTCATAGTTTGACTGAGTCGAAAGCCACGCTTTCTGCCGCTCACGCTTCTTTACATCAATAGTATACCGCTACATTGCACTCAAAACCACCCCTGGTGCTGGCCCAGAATATTTTGGCTTAGGCTCTCATTCAATGCAAATGAACTGTTGGCCATCCTGTCCTGCAGTTATTTAACAGGGGACCATTTGTGCCCCTTCTTTTCCCTTTCAGACTTTCAAAATTCGGATCATGAGGCAGTGACAAGCAGGAAGTTTGGTGTTGCGGTCACATTAAAAACTTACTCTTTTACAGATGGTGCATGATGTAGTGAGAAAAGAGACACATGAATCAACCACAAAAGAACTTTTCCAGAATTGCTCAACCACGGACCACAGTGGCCGTGTTGTGTTGCCAGACAAAGCCTTACAATGGACCAGACCATATCTAATTAAACACCTTGCAAGTGTGTTTGTTTTCCCCAGCCTTCATACATGCTAATTGCAATCACTTCATGTGTGAACATAACGTGGTGGAAGTCCTAAAACTTTAAAAATATCTGTCAGTAACTTATTCAGCAAGGCATAACATAAGTTGCAGTACCTTTGCCTGACATGTCCTCCAGACAGGAGCCGCTCTCTGTACTGGTCATGGATGTTCTTTTCGGCAAAGAGGTTTGCCTTGCGTAGTGCTTCAGTGTTGCTGAAAAATGCCACATTTTGAATACTCTATGTATTGCATTTATGAAACACTGCGGGTGAGCACTCACATTTTCATTCCTCTCACACACTCTTCAGCCTTCAGTGTCAACCTCTCCTTGTCTTGAACTTTGTCTTGCTCCATTCCAAGTGCTTTCAAAGCCTTGAATATAAGACGCACAAATGCAAGATTATGCACCTGGAAAGCCTGTGGTCACTAAGTAGCATTTCCCGCAGATTTTATCCACTGCATGCTTGCTTTGAATATGTACTATAATCAACAATTCAATGAAAAAAAAACGGCCCACGAGGTCAGGTCAATATATGTGCGTGAGCCTCAATCGCCCCTTCATGCTTTATAACATGCATGCAAAAAGTCTCCAACGTAACACCTACCTCCACTGTCTTTTTGTAGGTGCGCAAGCTCTCAGCAGCTTCCAAATTTTTGGCATCCAAGTCCTCCCGACTCGCGCAATCATTATAGATGTCCTGAAAAAGATACGGAAGTCAAGGTAATTTGCTGGTGCAAATGCTTAGCTCCGCACGACGGCCAATGCAAAGGATGTGAAACCGAAACTTGGTTGCATCTCTTGAGGACATCAAAACAAGAGAGGAATTATGACGCTGCTGTTGTGCGTTTTTCCCTGAATTCCCCGGACAGTCAGAAAGAGCAAAGAACATGGTGTTGTTTGCGAACACGATGCTCACAGTTGGACAATTATACCACAAACAAGTGTTTTCATACGTAAGCCCGCTGAAAGCACTCTTTCAATTCGAACACCACAAACGCCATACCTGTATGCACAACTTTATCCGTATGTCTATCTTGAGTATCTCCTTGAGCAAATTCATCTCAGCGCTCGCACTATTACTAGTACTTTTAATGCTATTTTTCCGTAAACTTGTCATGCTGTCAACGCTGCCACAGTAGCAGACCAGCTGGCTTGCTTTCTCTTCCGCAGGTTGATGATGACAGTCAAAAACTCGTCAACCTTGTTGAAAGTTATTGCAAATATGCAATGCATACGTTACACAGCATTTTAAACACAGTGCTTATTGTAAAACAAAAGTTTTTTTTGAAGTGAGAAATTGAAATGCTTTTTTTTTTCTCACTCAGTAATAAACGAAGTCTCCGTCGAAGACGTCGTCGACTTCAAGGTTGACGTCGTGTTGGCAAACGAGAAGTCATCCCAGCAGTCGCCGAAGGCCCGTGGAGTGCACGCACGTACGCGCAATTCGGAGTTTTGAAGATGTAACATTCCTATAGAAATCGTTTCCCGTCAAGTCCGCAAGAAGATGAAAATCACAGAACATCACCTTGGAACGACGTCATCGCGCGCTAAACCGTCTCGTGCGCTCGAGCGTTTCATTTGTTCAACAGCGTTGCATCATGTCGGACGGCACGTTAGCATTGCTCCCTCCTGAAGTACTCGATGTCATATTCTCCTACTGCGATGTCTGGACTCTGGGCCGACTTAGCTGCGTATGTAAGCGCTTCAACAGTTTGCTCAAGCAAAGCTACGTCTGGACCCGAAAAAGCAAGAACATTGTCGCCACAAACCAACGCGATCCGCGCATGCTGCGGCGGTGAGTCTACCCTCGCGAGTAGTCCTGTGCGAACGACTACGCGACGCGTTTCTACGCAGCTTGTACGCTGGCATGTTTTTTTCTTGTTTTTCTTTTTCGTCTTTCAATGCTTCGCGACCAAAGATGGTAGAAGCAAAAAATATTTCATCAAATTTATTTGTTGCTGCATGCATGCGGCGTTTTAAAGCGTGCGTTTTGCAGGTAGGAAGTTTGTAGCGGCTTCGTCACAACTTAGATCGCTGCACCGTGTTTTCGTTTAGGTCGATGCGTTTGCTGGAGGCGGAGGAGAAAATCTGGCAATCAGTCCGTTGGCAGACTGGGCGCTATGATGAGATGGCACTGCTGAAGCACCGTGTATTGTAAGTGATGTGTTCATATTCATTTGCCGCTTAGTTTGTTGTAGCATGCTTCAGAATTTGTGGAGCATCCTCGTTATCTTGTCAAAGCAATCTCGAATACATATCCGGGATTTCTTTACCGAGTTTTCATGTGTAGTGCTACTTGCAGGTTTATTACAAGACGCCACCTGTAATCTGCACAGCTTTTAAGCTGTAAAGCCCCCGTATTCAGAAACGCTGCTCGACTTGAATTCGCCACTACCTTCAATGCAGCACAAACGCGTCTCGAACGCGCTGTCTTTAGGCTGTGATACGGCAGCACAAACGTGTTTCGAACGCGCTGCATTAAAAACGGTTTCAAGTCAACTGAAGGAGTGTTTCTGAATACGGGGGTTGCGTATTCAGAAACGCTCCTTGACTTGACTTGAAACCGCCTTCAATGCAGCGCGTTTGAAACGCGTTTGTGCTGCCTTGTCACCGCCTAAAGACAGCGCGTTTGTGCTGCATTGAAGGTAGTGGTGAATTCAAGTCGAGCAGCGTTTCTGAATACGGGCGTGACTCGCTTTCGAACGTGCACCTAACTGCCTTGAACCTGATATGCATCTCAACGTGGCTCTGTGTTTACGAACCAAAATAGCCATCGCCTGTATGACACACTTGGTCAACTTATCACTTGTGAGTAGGGAGCCAGTTGCAACTTTGTGTTTTGAAACTTTGGTGTTTTCTGACATATTTGATTTAGTGTCCATGACGACTATTTTAGTCCAAGCATAGGTTGTGTTTTAATTTAGACAGTTGAGATTTTGCTATGTATGTTTGGTACATGTTAAGACGTTTCCACATATGAATATGGTTTATTGTGGAGTACAAAATCCTGCTTGGTGGTTTGGTTGATTGAACTCTAATGTTGCCTTAATTCTATTAGCTATTGTTTTTCTAAATAGTTTGTAGAGAACGGACAGAGCTGATTTGCCTGTAATTTTTCAAGTCCTTGGCGTCCCCTTGTGGATTAAGATCATGTTAGGCGTTCTTCCAAGATTCTGGTACCCTTCCCGTCAAGAGACACTTCGTATATAAGGTGACCACTTTTTCTAATACAATTTCTCCGCCATTTATCGGGAGGTCCGTTGTTACCTTTCTTCAATAGTGGCTTTGCCTTTTGCATTCCTTCTAGGGCTTTCCTTACTTCTTCTGTCATTACTCGTAGGATGTCGAACTCCTCTGGACTATTATTGTCCCTCATGATATCGTCCTGGTGGTTGTGGTGGTAAAAACTTTGACCAAGGGATTTGGGCACGTACGGCCCAGGGTCCCCGCACGACCCCCACTGCGCTATGCGTTCATGAGTTGATGTAGATGCGTGACGTGGGCGGCCCGGTCAGTGGCAGTGTTGTTTTGGCTTCTGTATATTTCTCTGTAGAACTCCTATGCCACCTAGACTCTCCTATCCATATTAGTTATGACGTTGCCTTCCTTGTTCCTCAATGCATACATCCGATTTTTACCTATGCACAAGTTTGCCTTCGCAGCTTTTAGGCGTCTGCCATTTTTTACAGCTGGCTCAATTCTCTCCATGTTATACCTTTTGACGTCGGCTAGCATACGTCTATTGATTAACTTCGAAAGCTCCACTAGCTCTATTTTGTCGGTTGCATTTGAGGCTTTCATGGTTTGTCATCTCTTAAGATTTTTCGTCTCCTGAGATAGTTTGCCAGTGTCCTCTCCAGTGATTGTAACTCCAACTTCCATTGCTCACTCTTTGATGATACTAGTAAGATTATCATTCATTGTGTCAACGCTAACGTCAGTTACCTTGTTTAGTGCCTCAAATCTCTTCTGGAGCAAAACTCTGAATTCGTGTACTTTCGCTCTCACCGCTTGTTCATTAATTCGTTTCTTGCATATCAGTTTTTGTCTTTGCATTTTTAAATCTAGGTGAATACGAGCTATTACCATTCTATGTTCACTGCATAGGATCTTGCCAACTACTTCATCCTGTACAATGCCTGGGTGTGCACACAGAATGAAGTCTTATTTCATTTTTAGTTCCGCCATTAGGACTTCACTACGTCCACTTATGGTTAGCCCGTTTTCTTAAGAAGGTATTCAAAATCCGTAAAACATTACGTTCTGCGTCTTCGGTAAAATCGTTTTGAGTGAGTTAGTGTAAGGCATGGCAATACCCTTTAAAGTTTCATCTCTGAAAACCTTCTCAAAAAGGCGATGGCGAACGAGTGCGACTCGACATCAAATTTCACGGACTGATATTGCGGTTTTCGTGGCGGAGCTGCAGGTGTGCTTAGAGACGTAAATCATTGAAAGGTTTCATAATAATCTGAACATGATAAATTTATTCGACCATGAGCAGAAGCATCGGTACCGCAGCCCCGTTTCGCTATTCTTTACGCATAATCTTGTGCAAGCCGCAATCGAATATTCCCTTAGTGTTCAAATATAGATCTCCGAATGTAACAGTTTTAGCGGCATACAGCTACTCATTAACTTGTCTGAGTCACGCAAAAAGAGCACAACAATCATGCGCCCAGCAGCAGTTTTTTTACAAAAACACTTTTGTACATGCATGCCACATGTTTACAGTGCTCATAACTTTACTATTCACCCTTTCTTTTCATATTGTGTTTAGTTCATACCTTTCAAAAACATGTGGGACCAAGTGAAGCAATAATATTGCACCAAGGGAATTCGACAGATACAAAACCCTGCCAAGATACCACTGCTGCCTGGGCTGGGAGATTTCTTGGCTCATTTACTTTAAAAACCAGCAGTATTGTATACATTACTGAAAAAAGTAACCAAATAGGTTGCTCGTAATGCTAACAGAATAAAAAGAATCGTGTTACCTCCCTACAAGGCCTACAAAAAAAGCGTAACTGGTAAACCTTACAGAAGTAAAAATAACATCTTCTTCGACATTACTTCAAGATCAGAAGTTTGAATCATCAGAAGTTTGAATCAGTGCGTCCTCGCTGCGAGAGCCAGAATGGTATTTTAATAAAACTTGTATTTATATTTCACATGTTAGGAAGTATTCGTTTAGCATGGTCGTACCAGTAGCATAATTAATCTTGCTAAGCTAAACGTAAACCCAAGTGTTCGTCTCACTAGGCACAACGAAATGTCAATTGTACTTATCCCTAGAACTTTTTATGATGAACAGTCATTGTCTTGAGCCAGAAGAATGATGATTTGACAAATCTGTGTACTACCCATTAATCCCATGCTTGCTGATGCGCCATGTGTTGCAGCCCCCATAGGCCGTAGCGCCAGAGTTCTTTCTAGCGTATTTATTGGAAACTGTACACTGCAAGGGACATTGGAAAAAGTGCATTGGACACTTTTATTACCGAAGTACTCATGAACTTTGTGTTGTGGAGCATTTGGATAACATGCCTGAGCAAACCTTTTTTCTGTATTCTGCTGTGTGAAGGTACATACCATGGCTTCAATTGGAGCGGGATGTGCTATGGTACAGTCAGGGATCTGTTATTCTGAAATACCAACGACGGGAAGATGGAACTATTGGAGAAAATGCATTGCTGTCACTTCGTGGATTTCGACATGATGTTGTCCATTTTGTCCGCCAAGATGACCTGGTAGTCGGTGGGGGAAGGTAAGTATTTGCATTTAGCCACAATCATTTTTCACTGAGTCTACGTAGCAGTGTAACAGTTCCGTCACGTAGACACTTGAAGTCCTTAGTTTGAAAGAAATCCTATGCTGTTTTTCTTCAGTGATGGCTGCCTTTGCATCTGGTCCGCTGAGGAAGGATCTTTGGTGCATCGCCGTTTGAATTGCAACAGTAAAGCCATCAACAGTGTTGACTACCGTGGGAATATGGTTGTGACAGGGTCTCAAGACCGTACTGTAAACGTAAGGCTGTTTTTATCATTCAACAAATTATCATACCCCTGCAGTTTATTTTAGGTACCGCATGCTTTTGTGCATGGAATTCGTTTTTGCCAATTTAACAAATGGTGTCAAGAAAAAGTGGCAAGACATTGAACTTTGTATGCATTTAACCCTCATTCATACTCAATTTGTATTCATTAAACTGGTAGTGGGCTACAATAGTTAAATATTATCACTTTTGCTGAGACATTCCTACATTTGACAGAATGTTAAACATACTACTAATGGCCGCAATAGCAAATGAATTTTTCATTCCACAGAATGCTTGCAGGCTATAGGTAACCTGTGCTTATTATGTATAGCCTGTGATTCAGTTCTTTTTTTACAAAACTGCAATATTATGTGCTGCACTGAGAAAAAATATAATTATTTTGTAATTATCATAACCCACTATAATACCAACAAAGCAACATCCCACAATCGTGCAGCCAAGTGACCAGCACCTTGTACTGTAGACTCCTAATAAATAAAACTCTCTTAAACGAAATTGCTGTTTAAATGGAACAACTCTTTATAGTATGATTGGTTTGGTACTAGAATAGTGTACTTTGGTCATCTCTCAGTAAACGGAACTCCTCTTAAAGGAAACATTTTCCTGGTCCCTTCAGATTTCGTTTAACAGGAGTCTACTGTACAGAGTATTTTTTTTTTTTTAGATAGTACAGTTGTTTTATATAAATTCTGACAGTCGCGCCACAGTAATTTTTGCTCACATACTCTATCGAGGGGGAAATACTTTGCTGCAATTGTAATGACATTGATAGACTTATTAACAAATACTTGTTAATTAATATTTTTGTCTGACTTGAGTGCAATTTGTATGGAAAATTGTAGTGCATGAAAATTTATAGCACACTGATTTTTGTATAATCATCAAAGTTGCTTGTAATTTGAAATACTCCTCATCCAATTTTAAATGGGTACTGACACAAAAACTTTGGCGTCATGTTTTTTCGCTGCAATGTGTTGCTGGGGGCCTGTTAGTCATAGCACGGCACATTGTTTGCTACAGCACGCGACAGATAATAAATTGCAGGCTTCTCATTATCGGCTAGTTTTAGTTTCCGAGTTCTACAAAAAACGACACACCATTGGGTGCAAATATTTCCACCTAGTAATAGTTGCACACAGAACTGCGACGCACTTCTACACAGTTCGCATCAAAAAGTCCTTTCGAATAGGAAACGAGGCTGCAGTGTTGCCAAAGGCGAAACTTTCAACGCATGCGCCGCGGCCACTAACTTGCGACCAGCTGCCGAGAATTATGGACTGCTGTGACAAACGCAACAACACAAAACTGGTGGCTATGACATCATCATAACTGGTCTGATTGACTGCAGCCTGGTGACATGAGGGAAGTAAGGGGGACCTCGACGCGTTCTTTTAGGCGGTGTCAATACATTCAAAATTGCTTTAAAATACCTTCTAAGCTATATTATCTGTTGATATTTTGCAGATGATATATGCATGTTCATGGGAATAGATCCCACAGGCTATCTTGGCTGCGAAACTTTGTGTCAGTACCCCTTTAAGGGTGAAACGAAACTACATCGCACACATGGAATAAGTTGTTTGCTTGTGATTTCTGAAGCATTGCCAATTATGTTGACCATACTTAAGTGCATTTTGATTCAAATTTCGTTACATCTGCATCTTATTCAAAATTTGGTACGCTTGAGCCTGTCCGCATGGAAGTTTGCTTGGAAATTTATTGCAGCTCACAGCTGCGATTATGCTAATTTTTTTTCAACATATTGTGCCAGGTGGGCGTACTGATCCTGGGAAATGCATAACTAATGAATTAACTATTTCCTATTAAGGTATGGCGAGCACTGCGAGGTAATGAGAAGGCAGGCTATTGGTATCAGGTATAAAGTAAAAACCTCACGCTCAGTGTTTGAAATGTTGTGTAAAGGTAGCGTGTCAGCTTCACATTACCGTATGCATAGACAGGGTCAATTCGAGCCTCACCCACTCATGTTTTTTGTTGCAGTGCTTGTGTTTTAGTCAGAATTATGATCTGGCTCTGACCAGAATTCCGAAAAGCAATTTAAAAGCCCTATTTTGGCCCAAAGGTGTGCCGTGCGCCAGCGTCGAGTGTACGTTGTGCAGCGTGCCAGCCTCCCAGTACCGTGCACCACACTGGTCTTGTAATTATTAGAGCTGGGCGAATAGCAATATTTTGGGCGCAAACTGTATTCGAATATGGAAGTGTGAGTGCAAATTGAATCAAATAATTTTTTTGATAATTCTCGACTATTTTTCTAATATGTTGGAGCGAAATGGCAAGGAAAAATGACACCATCTCTCACTAAAAGGAACCAGTGATGGACCGGTGTTTCCTACTGACAGAAGATTCCGATTGGACACAGATACCCGCAGTCCGTTTTCAGTTAACATCACTGCGAATTTTTATTGTTAAACAACGCAAAGGAGAAATATCCCACTGGCACTACCTTGGAGGCCTAGATCCAGGGCCTGTATAATACTGGGTGGCCGGTGAACGGTTGTGCAGTGAGAGCAGTCGGTTATTTCAATCAAGAAACTCGCTAGCCGACGCTGCGTGCGTCGGTGTTGTGAGGGGGAGCATGGGAAGGGAGAGTTAGAGGGAGGGGATACGCAATGAAGGGGTAAATGCCGCGGGGATGAATGCCTAGAGGAGAAAGAGAAGGGTGGGGTGGGGGAACAAACGTAGTTTTGTCAAGTGTGAAGGCGCGGTAATAGTGTCAGATTTACATGTCTATGCAACAAGCCCATTCGGTTCTGGGTTAAACCACAGCAGCAGCACTCGCATACGATGGCGGTGATACGGTATAGACCCACCTGTGTACTGTGCGATCCCAGTGCACATTAAAGAACACCAGATGGTCAAATTTTCAGGAGCCCATCACTGTGGCATCCCTAATAATGATATTGTAATATAATTATTATTATAATTTGTGTTAAGTGCCCAAGAAGTGGTGGGAAGTCTAGGAAACATTGCTTAATGTTGTCGAGCAGATGGGCTATGCGGCATAGCGTGTTTGCAGAAATCAACCCTCGCAAGCACATGACCAAGTTATGCATGTGCACGCTCTTATAGCAATCAAGCTCAGCCGTGACTGAATATTTTTGCTGGCTCACCAGCGCAAGTTGCAGAAAGGAGCTCATTGAGGTTGGTCGGTTCACATGCTAACTAAGTATGCAGTTTATGAACTCTGGGTTAGTACTTCACAGCTGCTTTCTCCTTCATATGGGAAGGCCCCTGCGCATACTCTTTTGCAGACTGGGCACACATTCAGTGTGTTAATGTGCGCAAGCAATTCTGTAAGTTGTGTGCACAAGCAATTCTGTAAGTTGTGAAAGTACGGTGATAGTGTCAGATTTAATTATCTTTTCTACATGCCCATGTGCATTAACACGTGATCACTGACACATTTTCAGCGACGACTCATTTTGCCATGACTAGTGCGTGCTCTTCAGCCTTTATTGTGCAAAAGGCCACAAAACGCCAGTTTTTTATCAGAGCTGTTCATGCTGCACCAACTCACAGACGGCGAACGAACACTTTCAATGTCACTCAAAGTGAGTGCACTGCTTGCTGTATTCGCACAGTTTTCGAGCCCACATGGTGATTTAATGCACTTCAAACATTCTTCTTCAACCATCCTTCCTCTATCTGATATCTTTTTTGCGGTTTCGAAGATATCACGGGAGGTTAGGAAAAATCTAGGCACCCTTTCCTGCACAAGACTCCGCTTCATTACCGTGACTGTTTTCTACATTTTTCCCATCGACGACATGGTCGTAGGTTTTTAACATCTCTTCAGTATGAAAATGCACATTGCAAGTTCACGATTTATCTGATAGCCTTTTGTAAAGACAAGGAATAGCACGATTCTACGCAACCTGGAGAGCTAGATCATGTGGAGACCAGAAGTGTCTCAAGCACTTCTTAGTTCTATGGCCGCTTGTGCATACAAACACCAGTTGGCATTGCAGACGAAAAACATCCATGCTACATAGAACACAACAGCATGCAAAAAGTCTACCATCTGCGTACTGCAATACAGTGCAACCATAGCCACACACACACTCTCGATATGGCGTACGTTGCTGGGCTGGCTGAAGCCTCTTGTGACAACAGCGCCACTTCCAGCTGCCGCGCAACACTGCTGAGTTTTGAAACTAAACAGGCCCACGACCATTTCGCAGGCATTTACGCCGTACAGCCGCTCTTCATGATTGATTACTTGAAAACTTTATTGGACTGTTTACAGTGGGCTTTCGCTTGTTGGCTTTAGCACCATGGTATAAAAAAAGTTTAAAAGAAAAGGCACAGCTGACCTCAAACTTATCAGCTTGTTGCTGCTGGCCACGCCGCGGTGCAGGTGAAAATGCTGTAGGCCGTGTGCTCATATTTGGAAGCACGTTAAAGAACTACAGGTGGTCGAAACTTCTGGAGCCCTCCACTACTGCGTCTCTCGTAATCATATGGTAGTTCTGGGATGTTAAACCCCACATATCAATCAATCAATCATTCTTATTGCTAGGCAGGGAATGGTGGTGTCTTGCACAAGGTAACGCACCAAAAGTTCAGCGTGGCCCTGATGAGTGGGTCTTCAAGTATTCAGTTGGTAGTCTCCTCCAAGGAGGAGGTTAAAGTAATAATTGCTGGAGCGGAGGAGGCGGCCCTCAGGTGAAGCCGCGTGCCACCATCTTGCCATAGGCAGAAAGCACGACCTCCGCAACTCAAGTGCCTGCGGCTGCACAGATGCTTCGAATGTTCACTGGTGTTGTAGCATCTGGACGTTGTAATGGGTACATCGTGCCCTTCTTAAGGCTACATAGGTCAAGCGAAAAGGTATTCTGGGATAATGTTTCAGTTGTGGGTATGATATTTTAAGCTTAATGAAAACTGTATGCCGCAACACATGCATGCTGATAGCTGTAAACCTGTCTTCACATATTTCGTGGTCATT